ATATATATATATATATAAAATGAATGAACAAGATTTCACTTTAAGAATGGTCTCTTTACTGTTTTAAAACTCAAAAAAATATTTTTACCGAAGTAGATACATGAGAATTTAATACAGGACAATGAAGTTCTCACAATCATTAAGAAATCAGAAAGATTACACTATAAATGATGCTGAAGAGTATTTGGAAAAATTTAGCTCCTCACCTTATATCATTCACCAAAATATACTTGAGTTTAATGTAAAGTGTGTGTTGTGTTAAGTGCCATTGAGCCAGTTCCAATTCATAATGATCCTGCATAGGGTTTGGAGTGGCTGGTGAGTTTGAACTGCCAACCTTGCAGTTCAAAACCGACTATGTGGTTCAGTGTTCATCCTACATCCAATACCAGGACTCCTTAATATAAAGAAGTGAATGCAAAAATAAAATGAGATATAAGCACTATGGAAAATGGTCTGACACTTCCTCATAAAGCTAGAAATAGAAATACAGATGATGCAGTAGTCCTACTCACAGGTATATGTCCCAGAGAAGTAAGAGCCTGGCGTATGCACACACATGTTCACCACAGCACTATTCACAACAGCAAATAGAAACAACCTAAGTGCCCATCAATGGATGAGTCGGTGAACAAGCTGTGGTACACACACACAATGGAGCACTATGCAATGTTGTTGTTCAGTGCTGTCAAGTTGATTCCGACACACAGCAACCCTATATAGGGTTTCCAAGAGCAGCTGGTGAGCTTGACCCACCGACCTTACAGTTCAAACAACTTTGCAGTCTGATGCATTAATCCACAGCCCTTGTTAAGTGGCATCGAGTTGGTTCTGACCCATAGCGACCCTGTACAGGGTTTCCGAAGCTGTAAATCTTTAAGAGAGCATAAAGCCTCATCTTTCTCCCGCGGAGCAGCTGGTAGTTTCAAACTGCTGATCTTAAGGTTCGCAGCCCGATTCATAACCACTATGCTACCAGAGCTCCTTAACCCACAGCACCAAAGAATAATAAATCGGTGAAACAGCTCACAACATGGATGAAACTGGAGGACATTATGCCAAGTGAAATTGTTGTTGTTAAGTGCCATCAAGTCAGTTACAAAAGAACAAATATTGCACGAGACCACTATTACAAAACATTCACACAAAAATAAACGTTTTGTTGATGGCTACCAGGGATATGAGAGGGCAAGAGGTAAAACCACTAACTAGAGAGTAGACACATGGCCACCTTTGGTGAAGGGAAAGACAATACGTAATATGTGGAAGTCAGAATAACATAGCCAAGGCAAAGGGAGACACTGAAAGGTAAGCAAGAGTAAAAGACAACAATAATAAACACAATTACACATACGGACTCTTGGGATGGCGCTGCAGCATCAGCACTGGACTGCAGACCACAAGGTTGGCAGTTCAAACCTACCAGCTACTCCTAAGCAATCCTATATAGGGTCGCTATGAGTTGGAACTGACTTGAAGGCACACAACAACAACAAAAATACAATCCTGTAACAATGCTAATGACAAACAATAACACAGAGTGGATACACATAGATGGTTATGTAAGCTGGTCAGTGTGCTTATGGAGTACACCCACATGGGTATAGGGCTGGCATCAGATAGTTCTACATCTATATTTGCACATGTTGCAGACACACCCATATATATAATAAAGCCCACAGCAGGCACAGCCATGAAAACCTCTTAGCCATAACCAAACACCTCCCAGGACTGAAATACTGGGCTTGACAGTTAGGGATCACAGTCTCAGGGGGAAATTTGGGTCAATTGGCATAACATGATTCATAAAGACAATGTTCTACATCCTGTTTTGGTGAGTAGCAATGGGGATCTTAAAAGCTTGCAAGTGGTCATCAAAGTTATCCTTTCCTCCAGAGCAAAGAAGACTGAAGAAAAGCAAAAAATCAAGGAAGGAAGGAATCTAAAGGACCAATGGAGCACATGAACCACAACTTCTACCAACCTGAGACCAGGAGAACAAGATGGTGCCTGGCTAACACTACCAACAACTCTTCTGACCAGGATCACAATACAACAAGGCACCAAACAGAGTGGGGAAGAAACCAGGCAGAACGAAGTTCAAATTCATAAAAAAGTTTTAAGATTCCTGCTTTAAAAGGACTGTCCCCCCACCTCCACCCCTACCCTTGCCCTGGCAAGACTCGGGCCCTTGGACACTCTCCTAATGTACAAGTACAACCTACTCCTGGAGATCACCTTGCAGCCACATAAGACTGGCTTTATGAGTTAATAGTAACACCCAGGAGGAACATGCGCCTCAGAACAAACAACTACATGAGGGGGCTTCAAAAAGTTTGTGAATACATAATAGTCACAAAAGATATAGAATTTATCACAAACTTTTTGAAGTCCTTCTCACAAGACCAAAAGGGCAGCATTTGCCCAAAAGTGAAGGAAAGTAAGTATGCAGAAAGAGGCAGGAAAACTGGGCTAACACAGACAGGGAACCCAATATGGTAATGGGGATTGTAATTAGTATCATGTAATATTTTGCATAAATTGCTAATTGGGAAACTAATTTGTTTTGTAAACTTTCACCTAAATAATAATAAGATATTTAGAAATGAAATGAAATAATAAAGAAGATGTACGTATTTTTCAAATGTCTGAATGGAGAACTTTGAAAATCAAGGGAGCAAATCATAAGGTAAAAGACTGCTTTATGTAAATATAACACAAATTTTTCAGAAGATAATATGAACAACCTAGGAAAATTACTAACATAAAATCAGATGTTATTAAAACAACATATATAATTGTTGTTGTTTGCCGTTGAGTTAGTTCCCATTCATAGTGACCCTGTACAGGGTTTCTGAGGCAGCAAGCCTCATTTTTCTCCTGCAGAACAGCTGGCGGATTCAAACTGATGACCTTGCAGTCAGCAACTCAACGTGTAACACATTAATGTACAAAATATCATATGGCAAATACTAAGAACATTAGAACCACCACTTGTCTGTCAGTTTGTTGCACTGTGGTGGACTGTGTGTTGCTGTGATTCTGGAGGCTATGCCACTGGTATTTTAAATACCAGCAGGATCACCCATGGTGGACAGGTTTCAGCTGAACATCCAGACTAAGACAGAGTAGAAAGAAAATGTTGCTGTTGTTGTTAAGTGCTATTGAGTCAGTTCTGACCCATACCGACCCAAGGAGTTCCAAGGAGCAGCTGGTGAGTTTGGGCCACCAACCTTGCAGTTCAAACAGCTTTTCAGTCTGACACATTAACCCACAGCGCCACACCAGGTAAGGCAGACTATTTCCCAATATTTACTCAGAAATGTTATGAATAGCAGTGGAACACTGTCAGATAGTACCACAATATTGACAATTGAAACATAAAAGCACCAGAATATTGTCAGATGTAGTGCCAGAAGATGTGTCATTCAGGTTAGAAAGCATTCAAAATACCACTGGAGTAGAGCTGCCTCCTCAAATTAGTTGACCATGATGATGTGCATGGAGAAAAGCCTTCAGTACCTTCATTTGCTGATGGGGAACAACTCAACATGAAGAGAAACAGCTGTAAATATCCATTAATAATTGGCACATGGAATGTACAAAGTATGAAGCTATGAAAATTGAAAATAGTAAAAAATGAAATGGAATGGTTAAACATTGATATCCTTGGCATTAGTGAGCTGTAATGAACTGCTACTATCATTTTGAATCTGATCATCACATGGTTTACTATGTTGGAAATGACAAATTGAAGATAGAGCAGTTAAGGACTCTAGACGCATGGAAAGAGAAAGGCTGTGTGCGGGCAGACAGGAGGTTGGCTTGCAGAATGTGCTCTTTGGTTGTTTAAATAATAACATATTTCTGCGTGTTTCTGTGTACATCAAAACAACAACAACAAAAGAGGGAATGGAAGCAAATACTGTTAACTGATGATGCATGGGAGGGACTGTAGTCATTGCAATGAAACAAAATACAATAGGTTGAGTGCAAAACTGATGTCCTCCCATGGAAACTATCACTCAATTCACAATAAAAGCTTAAAATAAAATTACATACAAAACCCCAACATGTATGAAGTATGGAGAGATGCACAAGAACACCCATACTTGCAGATAGCACCCACTTGACCTGGCTTCAATGGCTGGATGATCAGAACTCGACTAGAAGAAGAAAGAAGAGGA